TCGCTGAGGATCTCGTATCTACAATGACGTTCACATTCATAAAGTACAGGCTGCTGTTTTTACGACGTTTTCGAAATTGTTTCGGAATTGTCACGCGTGCGAGGTTGCGTGCAAAATTGGATGAAAAATACCTCGAAACTCGCATTGTTTTCTCTGCAACGAGAGAGGGAAAAGGAAAATATATATATATATATATATATATAGAGAGAGAGAGAGAGAGAGAGGAGACGAAGGTGTCACGAACGGAAGCTAGTGAACGTAGCTACAGTAGCTACTCTAAGATCGTAAATCTGCGCGTGTCGATTCGAATCACCCGGTAGAGGATACGCGAGCGTCGGCCCGATAGAAGCCACGGGTCAATAACCTCCGGTGCGCACCTACATTTTTCCATGGTCACCGAAATGGATGTGATGGCTCGTCGCGAGTTCGCTCGAACGCCAAAGTGCGCAAGTATTCCTGTAACAGAAATGATCGACTCTCGCCGCAATTGAAATTGATATTTTTTTTCGCGTCGACGGTGTTTCGTTCACGTGGATGGCACCGACCAGGTTCCGATCCATCGATGAGAAGGGTTGTCCCCCCCCCCCCCCCCCCTGTGCAAAAGTCGCAATTGCTTTTTCGAGCGTTCGTTCGTTCGTTCATTCGTTCGTTCGCTCGCGCCGTTCCTCGTTCGTTCCTCTCCGTTTACGTAAATCCGGCCGGTTGGTCGCGCCCGATTTTCAAAATAAAAACCGTATGAAAGCGGCCCACGCGTGTGTCATCGATCGACGAAACGTAATCTGCTTTCCTTGCCTTTTTTATTAAAGGTCGTCACCGTGTGTTCAATGCCTTTCACGTAGGTGGCGACGCTTGTGTATTTATGCAGGAAATATCGCAACTTTTAATCTAGCCGGCAATTTGGTTCGAAAGGATCAAATGTTTGTGGAACGATCAAAGGGCTCTTTTTTAGTTTGATGCGGGGCGGCTTGTTTGCGCTGTTTCTCTCTAAAATTCCGCGTTCCGTGCTAGTGTTTACGCGGGAGATTGTAGGAAATGTGTTTTCGGAATAAATAGAGCTAGATTCGGGGAACGCGACGACGAAATAAAGAACGCCATCGGCGAATTGTATTATTCGGAACGACGTGTTTGCCCATCGCGGTCAAATCGAATTTGTATTTTAGGTTAAAATTCGTAATCACGATAACAAATAGTCGTTCGTTCGAACGAACAAACGTTTCACGAGAAACGGTGAAAGACGCACACGCGAGATACTACAAAGATCGGTGCCAGTGAATCAGGGAGGCACGCAGCGGTGGAAACGTTTCTAATCCAAAAAATGGAAATAAGTAAAACTCGTGGAGAACGTGGAATTCCATCGAGAGATTGATCGCGGATACAAAAAAGCGTACAACTCTTATCCTTTCCCCCTGTTTCAACATTTTACATGCAGTCTCCAATTTCGAAAAATTTTTAATCTCGCCTCGGCCTGTAAAATCGTCCGGCGAAACTTGTCTTTCGGTTACTTCTTCAAACATTTGTTCGACGTAATCTTCTGGAACTAACGTAATATTTACGGACGGTCCTCCATTATCTTTTCTTCCGGCGCGTTTAAAGGTCAAGAAATCGTGAATTTTTAATCTGTTCACGGACACTGAAACTGCGGTTTGACCAAGGTGTAAAACTTGTGTAAAACCAAAAGAATTAAGACAATGAGAAAAGGAGAGAAACTTAATTTCTGCCCACGTATTTTACAAAAATCTCGAACGTAACAACTACTTTGTGTAGTTTTCTAAGAGATAAGAACGTTATGATTTAACTTTGATTTTTAAATATAATTACTCAAAGTCCCAGCACTGTAAAAAATATCACGAACGAAATACTCATTTATTTGAAGAAGCCACTGCTTCTCTGAAAATTTTGACATGCTTCAAATTTTGGAGCGACAATGTACATGGTTGTGGATCAGAAATAACAATTTGATCACTTCGGACATTCTCGTCGGCTCTAGCGTTAAATGGAAATAGTTTCACGGTGAAAAAAGTCGGAAGAACGGATCGCGAGTAATAACTATCAGTCGAATGGTACCGCGTTATTTGGTCGATAGTTCAACGAATTATCGACGAAACCGTGCGTAGAGCGCACGATAAATCATAGTCGCGCGACTATCGATACCGATCGTGCTCGCTTATCCGGCAAATTCCTGTCAATAACGAGACAAACGGTTAAGTTATAGTATCTGTTTAAGAAAGAAACGCGGGACGGCAAGGTAAGAAGTGAGCGTGGCGCTCTTTCGTGATATACGAGCGACGGCTGTGTCATAAGACATATGTAAGTTCCCGGATAGAAGCATCCGTCGAGCGATCTTCTTGGCGCGTTTCTTTCGTTATTCGTTCAATGCGAACCGGAGGGAGGAAATTCAACGTTCGATCGACCGTCAACGAAATGGAATACTCGCTTTGAATCCCGACACGCGGTACGCGCGCGTAAACGCGTTAAACAACGCGAGAGAAGGAAAACTGAAATTTCCATTCTTATTCACCTTTTTTCCTTTCCGTGAGTGCATAGTCATCGATGTTCTTTCAGTCAGATTCACACCGGCGGATCCAACGCGATTCAATCAAGTCGAGATATCTCTTAACAGGATTTTACGCGATTCGTCAACTGAAGTTACAGTGAATTGTATGATTTGAAATTGTTGATTAGTTACAAAGAGTATTGTGACTTATCTTAAAAAGTGAAATCACAGGTCTTCGAACTTCCCTTCTTGGCGATCCTCCTCGTATTCAGAACGGTCGTTTTTTTCCGCTGGCAGTGCGATATCTTCCCCGGCCAAAATTTATTTAAGAACAAAATAAAAAAAGAACGACATTGAGTGCAAACGCTTTGGCAAAATCCTAGATTGTGATTGATCGTGATCCAGCATCTTTGATCGCCAGTGTGAATCAGGCTTTCCCCTCTATTTCTGTTTCCCTATCGGTCTCCTTTCGGTTCAGCTTCTCCAATTGCCGAACCAGAACCGAAAGGAACTTACCTCCGCGTTATACAGACGGAAGTTGTGAACTGGCGAAAGGACCGCACCGCCGACCGTCGGAACTTGTAGAAACGAACGCGAAGAGATTGCTGTCGGAAAGGGAGGGAATGGGTGGAATCAGGCCGCGGGGGTTGGACAGGCCGCGTCCGCTACTGGCAAAGAAGGGGAAGAACGATACGAGGCTTTGAAACTTTTCCACTTTAACAATTATGAGCCGGAATTGAATACAGCTTGGATCGATTGTAAGTTCACTCGATTTGCTATCCTTATCGCTATCGGCTGTCCCCATAAATAACGCGGCGCGATCTTTTCGGGTTCAGCCGGCAGCTAAAGGGCTGCCTCGCACCAGCCGCGGTTCCGTCAAGATCGCGCAGACAAGATTCGACCTTTATTTTTCCTGCGCTGCCCCCGTACGGGCGCCATCGAGATTAAAAAGTTGCCCGACGAGCGAGCACGCGAAAATAATTCTCTGTATCTCCGGGGGATGCTACCGACCGCCGATCGATTTTTAACGTACGCCACTTACGTAACAAGGGATCGCGCCTCGACTCTTGCAGTTTCATGGGAAATACAAATTTTTCTATTCTCTCGTGTTCGGAGTAACATTTTCTCGCAGTTGTGCGAGATGAAGAAGCGACTCGCTGTTCTTTTTTTTTTTTTTTGTTTTTCCTTTTTTTAACAAAATTACAGTTTTATTGGCGGAAGAAAACGGAATACGACGTAGTTTCGAAAATAACATACACCGGACTCCGGTCGGCGATACACCTTCACAGTCGATTGCTCGTTTCAATTGCTCTTGATGAACTGACGACGCATTCATCGTCTCCGTGCGTCATCGTACAAGACGAAAGAAAATCCTACTGGTCTAGAATGTCCAGTCCCGACCACTCTGGACATTTAATCCTCGAGCAGTATATCGCTGAGTTATAAATAACTGCAGTAATTTACTTCCAATCACACGTTATTTAATTTCGTCTGACATACGACGGAGATTAATAATAATATTGAATTAAGCGACAAACGATATCGACAGCTTCATTAAAAGAGTACATTTTTCCTCGACTCTCATCGATCTCGTGCTTCGAGAAATATATTTCCAGCATTCTCCCTTCTAAAACTCTAAAGGGGGTGTCGGATCTGTTTACAATCGTGCAGGACCATGCAATGATGGCGGTCTCGCGATAATCGAAGTTTGATCGCGTCCCGTGGAAATGTTTTCGATACACGACGCAACCGAGAGATCGCGTCGCAACGTCACTGCGGGGGATCGCGGGCATTGTGCTCGGCACGGTGAGAAGACACGGCGGGGGCGCTTGGAATTTGCGTTTAAAAGTTTGCGGCGGTTCCGTTAAGTTTCGACGGTTGCCGGCCCAGTGTATCCAAAGACGAAGTTGGCCGGTGCACGTCGATGCGATTCCTGGCCGTTCGAGTGTGGGTCTGTGCTGCGTTGTTTGTTTTCGAGGACAAACGGGGGAAGAGGTTGCACCGGCGGTAGAGGAGCGAGAGGAAGAGGTCGGGGGAAGAGAGTTGCAGCAGCGAAAGAGGAAGAAAGAGCAGGAGAACGCGGAAATGTTTGGGAGGGAGCGAGGGGGTGAGGAGAATCCGAGAGATGTCCGCGGGACTAAAGTTGGGGCGGGTTCGCTGATGGAAAAAGGTAGTTGGATTGTGCGCGATGCAAAATCGCGAGGAATCGGGCTGAAGTTAAATAGACGACAGTGGCCGTCGTTCGTTTCCGTCCGGGATGTCCGATCTGGCCTCTAGGAACGTCTCCCCCTTTTTATCGTGCCTTTTTTTTCCCCTCCATGTTTACTAAACAGAATAACCGGACTCGGTCCCGATTTTATAATGGACCGTCTCGTCTGGAACGTTGCACGTTAGGAGTTTCCATTTCCTCGCTCGAGACTGCCGCTTCGCCGCCGCTAGCCCGCGCTACAGTTTTGTTCCAGTCAACTTTTCCAGATACTTCCGAGAGATTCCACCCTGCACCGAACTATCGTTGCTGGCTCTCTGATCGATTGATATTTTGATATTGTTTACTCGCGTGTCCACGGTAACCGGACTGATGCGCGTTACGGGATGAATTGGAAAACGAAGTTCTGTAAATCTGGCATTTGTCCGACCTTCGGGAAAAATTATGATCTTGTAAATTTATTTGTTCTTGTTCCTGAAATGCTTAAAAAAAAAGGGATAGGAAATAATCGTGTAAATATATTTATTTCTATTTCAAAAGAATTAGTCGTGAAAAAGAAAAATATTAAATATTCTTGTAAATCTATTCTTATTTCAGAAAAATACTTCTAAAGTAATGTACATCGTAATTTTGTTATTTTCAAAGAACAACGTAAAATATCACAATATTTCTGTCCCTGCGTATTTTTATTAAATTTTCACCCCTTCTGTTTATCGATATTTCCGATCGAGTAGATTGTGTATATAGATTGTTTTGAACGGTTCGCTGAATAAAATAAATGTTTTGAAAATTGTAAACTTTAAAATGCATGGACCGATGAAAAATATGTACGGACGAATACGTACAATGTTGGGTAAAGTTTGAACGCTTCTGATAGTGGATTAACGGGGATCTTCCAATTATTCGACGGATTATCGTATCGCTTGTCTAGCGTGCTTCTCCCGCTGTTTCTCCTCAATTGAGTATTTTCGTTCCCAGGAATGGTTATAGTTCCCGGTGCTTTCGTTAGCCCATGCAATGAAAATCGTCCACTTAATGCGCCCTGCCAATTCATTTAATCGTTATCAGAACTATTTTGTTGCTCGCGTTTAAATGTCTCGCTGATATTGACGTTATTACGCAGAGTAAATACCAATAAAACGTAATTTACAAACGAACTTTTTACACACCGCTCGGGAATTCGAACGAACGAAGCTCTGATGCAGTGAAGCTTCCATTAATTCACTAAGGAGTAAGAAATAATTTCTCACAATATTTGGGATTTCGTGAAGTTATAAAATCTGGACGGGGAACGTAATTATAAAAAGATGTCGAGAGAATTTTTGGAATTCCCTACAATTTCATACTGGAAAGTAGAATTCGACAATGTAAATTAATCGAAAGGAATTTACAAATAAAATAACTGCGTTGATGCAATAATGATTCTTAATTTGGAGATTACTCGTCCAATAACCCAGACCGATCTGACTCCGCTGATTACGACTCGCTTTTCACTTTCCATCTTTCAAACAAGGAAAGAACGCACGAACTTTTCGCGACGGCTGGAGAAAAGAAGAAGAGCAAAACTGTCGAAACGTTGTAAAAACCGTCAACGTATCGAAAACATTTACAGAGAGAAACGGTGGGATAAAAATTTGCCGCTTTGCTGCTTTTTGCCCGGCGTTCAACGAAGGAAAGGCAGAGAAGGAGGTTGGCAGGGGGACGTGTAACTCCCATCTCGCGAAACGCCTTTCTCGCGAACTTTCTTTCGTCGTGGAGAATTTATACTGGCTTCGACAATGTCAGCATCATAGCCGTGCTTCAATTCGCGACACTTCCGGCGCAAGGAGGCAACAACTTTTCTCAGCGGCGGCGGCGGCGGCGGAGGAAAAGCACGACGGCGTGCAATTGTGTATCGACGACGCTCGAGCATCGAGGTTGTTTTATGGCCAGTGCAAGAGCCTCGATTCAACCGTGGAAGACACGGCCGCGTCTTTGTCTGACTCGTGAGACAGGAAGGGCTGTGCGTCTCAGAGGCTTGCCTCGTGGCCGCGTCTTGTGCAGAGTGGACGATAAACTTTCGTATAAGTTAAGTACAGGCAGGATGAAGATGCATTACCCCGGTCGCGTTGCGCGGCAATGGCGGCTGATATTAAATTGGGGAGTGAATCAACTTCTCGCAGAGAAAGAAGAGGAATTGAACGAAATGAAAACAATGACGGTTTCGGACAGTTTAAGGCACGAGTTGTCGTTGTTCTTTCATGTTCTATTTTTCTATTTTATCGAGGTATTACGAATTACAATGGGTTCAAATAGTTTTCAAAGAGAATTCGACGAAAAAAATCGTAAAATAAGGTGTTTTTGAAACGAGCGTTGCAGAAAAAGAGTTGTGTATTTCGTGTTATGTATTTCGCACAAATTATCGTTGTGATATTTCGAATTTTATAGTTTCCAAGAGATTTACTAAAGGATTGTGTTATTCAATTTTTAATTAATAAATCGCAAGGTAAATTGATATACTTGTGTATTCGGGTGGCAAGAAGAAGAGCGTGTTACGTGTTTCTTTTTTTGCGTTTAAGAAATGACACACGTACTTGCGAGAGTACGTGAAATGGAGGAGCAAAAGAGGATGCCTGAAGAATGCATGTCAAAATTGAAGTGGCGTTATTACGAAGTAGCAATAACGTTGCAACGCGGTGACATTGCAACGAGCTTCCACGTTTATCTTCATTTTTTATACTTTTCTGACAGTAAGGTATCGAATTGTTAAATATTAAAAATATAAAATAGCGCTCTCGGTTGGTTCAATCCAAGTTACGTGTACATATTCTCTTGACGTGAGTCTCTTGAATTTTTGAAATTTCCACATTTCGATAATCTCGCGGCCTAATAAGATTTTAGTACGAACGTATCTTGTTTATTATGACATCGAAAATGGATAGAGCAATTTTGCTCCAATTTGTTCCCTTTAACGAGAATGCACGTCGTATTTTACATTAAGAGTTGATCTAGTATTTTGCGGAGGCGGATGTAATGGTGTTCTATGTAGCGAGGATCGTTGGAGTATTTTCTGAAAACAGGTCGAACGTCTATTTTCACTCTCTCGAGTACGGTGAAAACGAAAAAAAAAGGAAGGTGAATTTAACGGCGGATTCCTGCGTTACCTTACATCGGTGCATAAAATTTCAACCTACATCGTTTTCAATCTCTCGCGAACCAACGAAAAGCGGCAATTTCAGACGAGCAGCTTCGCCGATATTAAACAAAATTTCCTTGGTAATAATATTTTCACTTGCAACGCGAGGTATCTATTTTAATTTCAAAACTGCGCGGAATTGTTCGAGTATTATCAAACAAAATCCGCGATCTTGCGTGCGTTGCATAATCGTTACATATACTTCGTTATGAACAAACGAGTCAGACACAATCACAAGTAATACGTCAAAGTGAAAAGTAACAAATCGTGATTGAACAACCTAGCAACGATTTACGACGAATCTTTCGTTTATTCCTGGCGAATGCTCATCGAAGACTGATCGAAGACTGATCGAAGACTGATCGAAGGTTGATCGAAGACTGATTGAACGACTGATGGATGATAGATCGTCGAAGGAAGTAAATTAAAAACAGCGATACACCATGGACGTGTTGTTGTCTAGTTGACGGGCCTGAAGGCAGCACTCGAGGTCCGCTTGCACCCCCGTCGACCGCACTAACGCTGTTGCTGGCGACATCGTCGTCGTCGTCGTCGTCTTCGTCGTCGTCATGCTCGTCGACTCGCGTGATTGTAGTGCGACGTGACGGTGGTGTAGCAGCCGGCAGCAGGATAGCGGGAACGACAAGGCCGAGGGTAGTGGTGGTGCAAGCCTGGAAGGCTTGAAGGGCCTGAGTTGGCAATAGTGGAGAGCATCCACTCGTTGCGACACTCGTGAGCGGCCTCATTGTCTCTCAAGAGGCTCCTCGCTTCTCCAGCTTCGCCCTTTCCCCTTCAAACCCGGCTAACACCCCCTTCGCTCCGATTTTCCCCTCCCTTGCATCCCTTTTCGCTCGTGTCTGCAACGACGACGTTCCCTTCGCTTCGGCGCCTCTATTCCCGGTGCCCCCTTTCGGTGACATCGCCCCCCTCGATCTAACAATCCGCCGGCTTACCCCACTGCCACCGTTGAAGTCGCATCGGCGACACGTCGGTCGGTACAGCAGGTTTCTGCTGCCGTTCCTCTCACTTGTCCTCCTACAAACTCTCTTCTCTTCTCTTCTCTTCTCTTCTCTTCTTTCGGTACCGTGTCTCTCCTCTCTCTCTCTCTCTCTCTCTCTCTCTCTTCTTTCCATACCGTGCCTCTCTTCTTTTCTCTCGTCTCTCTACCCAACGGCCTAGCAGCCCTCCTCCCACCGGCTGCACCGCTTTCCAGGTTCTTCTTCGACGAGAAATAAGGGGAAGAGGGTAGAAAGAGCGGCACTAGCAGCGTGCTCGGTGACGTGGAACCGTGGCAAAGCACCCAACCTTAATAAGCTTATGCAGCACTCTCCAACTATGTTGAAGCTAAGCTCGACCCAATATCTTCGTCGACGTCTTCCAGACGACATCGAGGCGCTTCTCTCTCTCCCCGATGCTCTCGTTCGGCGAACGGTCTGCCACGTATCTACGTGTATCTATTTGAACGTCCCGTTCTTTCTTTTTCTTTTTTTTTTTTTTTTCTTGGTCGTTTCCCAATAATGAAAAAATACCGAAATTTCGCGCAACGAGATATTCTTTTTTTTTTTTTTTCTTGTTTTTAACGATTATAGCCGTCGCGATTCGTAGCTGGCTTCCCCTGATGTTAACAGAACGCACGTTAACAGAAAGGTCTCTCTCCAGTGAACAGGATGAGATTAGAATGGCGAACGAACGACGAAAAAATACCGACGTCTTATTCCTATTCGACGTAATACCCTCTCTTCACGTCCCTTTAGGCTTAGTAATGGTGTTATGCGCTTGGTAATGGGTCAGGTGCGAATAAAATTCGCGGCACGGCTCCGTTAGTCAGCTTTTGGCAAGTGTGCCCGAACGAAAGGCGCACGGGACGCGATCGGGCACGTTGCGAGACAATGGCAACTAAATTCCGCGGCTTCCTACATCTTGTAAGAGGGCGTCGCTTTTGGCGAGGCTACACGTCTGGCGGTGGTAGAAGGTGAGGGAAGACGGACAGACTTGAGAGAGACGGACGAGAACACACGAGCCGAGAGTAGACCAAGGTAGACGAAAGGTGAACGGAAGAACGGGACGAGGAGAGGACGGTGAACACTCGGAAAAAGAGAGACTGATGGTTGGTGAAGGATGAAAGTTGAAGCGAGAGGACTGACGAGGGCAGGGTGGGTGGTTGAAACAGGGGTTGGGGGACCGGTTGATGAGTGGATGGAGAGAACCGCGAAGAGGATGGGAAGAGGGTAGAACCCGGATCGGGGTTTGGGAGCAGCGAGGGGTCACGTCCAAGAAGGGACTGTATCTTCCCTTTGTGGGAATGCCGTAACGCTGGGTAGACACTTCCTTTCATCCGTAGCACCAGGCACGATGGGTCGCGCGGCGTTTTGCCGAGGGAACGAACGGGGGTGTGTCGCGGGAAGGGCTGCGGGAACGAGGGGAAGAGCGGCGACCGAGATGGAGGCGGAGGGAAACGTCGTTTGAAATTTTTACGTTGCGCCACGGTTATTCTCTCATGGATTCTCTTGGATGAGGTATAACGACGTCGCCTCGGCCATCTTTGTTCTCTGTTTCTCTATCGCGGCAATTTTTAGAGGAAGCAGCCGCCAGGTACTCGCCTTTAAATTGCGTTTTAATCAATTAGTTTTAGAACGGTCGTTCGCTACTGACGTTGTGCAGTTCTTTTTAAGGGAACCGTGTATTATCTTGTGGGGAAAAATTGTCCCTTTCTGAATTTTTCTTCCTTTATTGCGATTCGAGAAGGAAATTTTAGAACCTTCAACAAATTGAGATAATAAATTACTTTAGCGTATTATCGAAAGATTATCTTGCGGAAAGAAGAATGCCGGCTTATCTCTTTACTTGTTCTTACATTTTAGCATTTCACTATAATTCGAGGATAAACATTGAAAATTCTACAATGAATAAGTCCAATGAGTAAAATTATCCTGAGAAACTACGCATTTGCCAAGTCACGTCTGCA